TTTAAATAAAAATTTGTGAAACCGCTCCTGAATTTTGAAAAGTAAAATTGTCATTTTGAGTACATTCTCTTATCGGATCTCTCTTTCTTTTTTCAATATTTCGGCACTCTAATGTTGGGGAATGTACTTTGAATGTACTAGCAATATAGAAGTATTACATATGTGTTTTTGGTGGATAACGTACCAGTATTTAAAGTAGTTTCATGTCCACTAACAATACAGTGCAAAATCCTTATCTATTCTGAAACAAATGGCATCAAATGTTAGCTACTCTAGCAAAAGTCGCTATAATACTTACTGTATGTATATATATATACACTTTCAAAAGTCGCTATAATATTTATTGTACGTATTTATACAAGTTCAAAAGTCTCCATCTTCTGATGAACTTAGAAAACTGCAAGAAAACCTGGTAGTTTCGGTGCCTAGTGGAAGACGTCGTAAAAAAAAGTAGACCAATCTTCATGAAAGAGAGAACGCGACAAGCATAAACAAGCTAGCTATGTAAAAGTTACTGTTTCAAAACTCGCTATATTAATTTTTTATATATAAAATTTGCAAAAACTACCATACTGCGATTTTGTTTCTTAATGCTATTAGGCTCTTATTTATCCAAATTTTCAGATTAAAAAAAAAAGATACAATTTGGATTTTACTTGTTGTTGTAGACGTTTTTTTTTTTTAATTTATGGCTTACTATTATAAAATCACATAACGCTGTTTGCAAGTGGACTACTCATATGTATATAGTTTTCGGTATGGTTATCGATATCGATATAAATATCATAAATACAAATGTACAGCGGCGAATACACATATTTTCGCTTCCGACAGATATTTCGCATATAAGTTAAAAAAAAATATTAATTTAAAAAAATAAGCTAATGACTAGATTGTAGAACACTTAAGCTTCACAATTATGAAAATCTCCATAAGAAAACTGCACTTTGCCTTGGATTTACAAACGTTTGTCTATCCAAGCAGCTTTCATCGAAATTATACAGCAACTCCGCTTGCAGTTTATCCGGCGCCGTTAAACACTCAGCCGGCAAGTCTAAAGTACTGGAATGCGTAACATCATCCTCGTCGTCATCATCATTATCATCATCGTTGTTATCATCATCATTATCACTATAATTAAACTCGCCACTTGCGTTTCCACTGCCGAAACTCTCATGTTTCAGTGCATCCACACTCAAATTGTAAGCTTCCTTACGCTCTTGCCATGTTGGAACGTAGACTGCCGTCTTAGAGCTACGATTGAAGCGATTACCAACAAATAAATTCGGCATACTATGTCGCTCTGCGTGTGATTCGGAATCTTGCGGAATTAGTTTTATCTTCGTTTCATCCGACATATTGGCTAGATTCTCGCATGCCACAAATGCGCCCCCAAGTCTTTCACAAAACACAGAGGAGGCATGGGAAGTCTGCGACGCAAGGTGGTGCAAATTTTGTTGAATACTCGCTGAATCTTCAGTTAACTCCTCCACACAACTCGTCATCCCGCCACCACAACTCAGATCCAGGTGTGCGGTCGTGGTATGAATGACAACACTATCCGTGGATTTGCGCACCAGCGCTTGCATTGCTTTCGAACCGATGACCAGCGATTCCTTCTGCAAAGCAACAGGCCCAGCAGACGGCTGTACGCAATCATCAGTGCTATCTGTATCCAATTTGATTAGATTTATAGATGAACAATGACGCTCCCTGCGCCGTGAAGGCTCGTCAATGGAATCACGTCGATTTGCATGAAAATTAACATATTCGAAAGGATTTGGATCACAGTCGGAAAATTTCTCATAGTCATCGTCTTCGTCACTTTCAGAGTCGGTAGGCAATTCAAAGGCGTCCTGCCGCTCCAGTTCTGAACGCTCTGATGAGTTGGAGTAGTCTATTTCATGATGTTTAGATTTCTGTACATTTGCCGAAGACTTGTGCGCACGTTTCTTACGCATAGGAATACTCTTAATATCAATACTGTGTCGCGCTTGCGGATAGAGCAACATTTTCACTAAATTACCTTTTAGACGGCCCGCCTTTACTAGTTTGGCAAAATGCGCACTTAGGTTAGCATAGGGTGCGGTGGGCGGGTAGTTACTCGGAGGCAATGTTATGCGATATGGTTTGCATGGAGGAGCAGCGTAGTACGCACAGAGCGAAAAACGTGTACTATAACCGCGCGAATCTAAAATATGGGGGTTCTGCGACGTGGTTTTACAGTTGATTTCGTGCGTTTTTATTGGTTTTCAACATTTTGTTAATTTTAAATTTGCATTTAAATTGTTGTTATTTATTTTATAGGTTTATGTTTAAGATTTTTGTGAGAACGTTGAATAAATTTGTCAATGTAAAAATATAAGTAAAAAATTAATAAAAATTCTCTAAGATAGCAATATAGAAAAAGATAAGCTCAAACTCGTTTTAAGCAACTCAATAAGAATTCAATATTTGATGGAATGTTGATGACCAGTTTGAGCTTGAAATAAAGAATATTTTATGAAGTTTTCAATTAACTTACATGTGGTGGTGGCTGGGGCGCATGTCCGCTATTTCCACAGCTCATTGATGCATTGCTTAGATTGCTCAATTGACGTTTGATGCCAATAGGCATTGTGGGATTCGCAGATGTTAACAGCTCAACCCATCTATTCGCCTCGTTGGGGCCTTGACACACTGCAATAATACGCTCGATTAAAGGGCCACTTATTTCAAAGGCATTTTTCACTGTATCGCTATCCTCGAGGCGATTCACAATAATGCCAGTTAGTGGCAGTTTTCCCTTTGAATGAAATAATTACTATTATATGTATATTGAAAATAAATTTTAAAGAGAGAAAATACTTACCTCATATATAAAGGCACTCATTCTTTGGCTAACACTGAGTATCAGCAAAGTTTGCGGAAAAAGCACAAAATAGCGATCTCGGTGGTCAGGTCCAACAGCAACACTTCCCATGTGTATTATATCACCTAAGTTAGTATTTGAAATGAATTTTAATGAGAAAACAAAATATCAAAACAGCAAAGTAGAATTGTAATTATACACATATCTCAAGAACAACCCAGAAGATAATTTAGGTAGGCCTTCTAAAAGGCCAATTCACAAGGACTTCAGAAATAGTCCTACAAAAAAGGAAGAAATGCGGAGTGCAAAGTCTCTTGACTCTCAAGAAGACCTTTTAGAAGGGCTTTTAGCTCCTGAAATTTTCTACTGGGATGTATAACCCAGTCTTCATTGCAAAAGGCTTGAAATGACATTTTGGATATTTCATAAGAGAAGGAAACAAATTTAAATTGTTCATAAAAGAAATAAATCATTTTTAACAGTAACGAGGAATCGTCTTTTTTTGTGAGATAAGTCTTTAACCCAGTGACAGATTGTATGAGAAAGTTAGCCATCGAAATATTGGAAAAAAAAAATTTCGCGAAAAATATAATTTAGGGTATTTTGCAATGAAGACGCTAGTAGATAAATAGCGCGCTCTTTGTACCTAATGAACTGAGCTCCTGACCCTGCCAGCCTCGCACTGGCCCTGTTAACACCTGCAGCTCTAATTCCTTTTGTCGCCTCGTTGCTGAGCAAGCCGCCTATATAGAAAAAGTAAATATTACATTGGCGTTTGTACTTTTGTTTAATTTTAACATTACCGCAATGTCCTTGTAAACAGCAACACTTCGCTGGGTGTCTCCCCGATCCGGGTGACTGCTCTCCATATGCCGCTCTAGTTCCTGCAGCATGGCCGAGTATTTATCGAGTCGACGAAAAGGCTTCGAGAGACCGGTCGTTAAGACTAAAAGACCAGGTGAGGCGGCACCTTGGCGCTCCATATACTTTTCCAATTCATCTCTGAAAATTCAAGAAATATAAGATTTAAAAGCAACAATTTAAGTTATTTTAAGTGAGAGATATACGTATACTTATATATATCTATTGTACAAAACAACGTTTTTGTCGCATTCAAAGTTCAGTCAACTCACTTGTGCTTGTCGAGTATAACAATGGCCTTTGGGTGGGCAGCACAGTAGGCCTGATGCACCTGTTTCATGTGCGGTGCTTTTGTTAGAAATAACTTTCCAACCCGATCATTGCACTCTTCCATCTGTTTGAGCAATTCTTCGTGTGTTCTAACAACTTCTACAAAATTGCACATCAACTGGGCGTACTCATCAGCATTGAGTCTGAAAAAAGAAAAAAACAAAAAAAAACCAATTATTAGCTTATATTTTAAGTGAACTATTTAGTTATCATTTTACATTTGCGTCTGTTGCAATGGTTCGAGAAAATTCTCCAATAGCCCTTGTATCTCGGCAACATGTGCATGCTCCGAGTCGAGTAGATCTTTCAGCACAACCGAACGATATTCCTGTATCTCCTCTGGTGGTCGTATCGTTTCTGTGAGCGGCAAGGGTGCCTTGTATTCGTTAACATAGTTGCTGGGAAACCAGCCAGTCTTATCGTTGAGTGTGCCCTCCCACCAACCCCCCTCTTCCCGCTGTGTAACTGTGATGAGGTCGCCTTTCTTGAAGCAGAGTTCATCGTTATTGCCGCCCTTGAACGAATACTCTGCTTGAACAATGAGTGGTTGTTGCGACATGTTGCTGCTGAAGTGGTGAGCACTTGTTCTATGGCAGTTTTCGCTGCAATGATGTTGCCTGCTGGTATCAAAGCCAGCTCAGTGTGATGTATAGCGTCTGTGTCGAATTGAAGTACGCAAGTTTGAGTTCGGGTCAATTGATTGGTGTGGGCGTCGATAATTGACTTTTTTCTCGCTGAGTAGTTGAAGCTGTAAATGAGTAGATAGAAGTATTGGAGATATTACTAAAAGTATCGTTCTAGCATTTAGTTATTTTAAGTATACGCTGTATATGTTCAAAATTAAAATGCATACTGTTGAGTAAAATAATATGCGAACCCATCACGCATTCAAAAACATGAATAAATGGCACAAAAGCAATTGCATCGTCTCTACTTTTGACAAAAAATTCCATTCCACTTTGAGCATTCTCGCAAAATCAAGGCAACCTCCTTAAACCATAAATAATACAATAATATTTTCTCTCTCTGCATTTCGAGTACCCTTCATAAGTATGTACATGTGTACGTGTGTACACATCTCTGTAAATATTTTCTTTTAGTGTGTCACATCATATTGGAGATTCAAAAATTCCAAGGTTGCCAAGGTCGGTACGACAAATTCGGTCTACCAATCCGCTTGTCGACCAGTCCCCCTAGGGTTCAGTTGCCATTTCAACGTAACAATAATCTCCCGTTCGTGCCGATCAAAAAATTTGTCGCGCCTCGCCAAAAAGCACGATCACATTAAGTGGAGCGAATTTTATTACTTCAGCATTTAAATTTCTATAATAAAAATGTATCTAAATTGTTTGAATTTCATACAAAATGATTTAAGAGGAAATTCAAGCTAATGCTTATTGGTGATTTTAGAAAACCTTTGCATATATACTGAATATTAAACGCTTACTCTTTGCCCGAAAATGTTTTCGGAAAGAAAGAAGGGTGTTATTTTTAAAAGGCTAAATTGCTGAGCTTCTTGTTCAACAAATATTTTTAATTTTCTTTTCGTTTTAGACTTTTTTGTTTTGCGAATATACTTACATAGTATATACATATGTATATACGTTTGTACATATGTATGCATGCTTGATCTTCGCGTCTCATGTATGCATGTATGTTAATTGCTTTGTTTCGCACAAAATAATATTTAAGATCACTTCTGAACGACACACGCTAAAATGAAAATAGGATGAAAATTCCAAAGCACTTTGTCATTGAATATTATGCGCGTGGAATAAAATATTTTTGCCTAGAAACAAACAGGGATATTGACTTCGAGATCAGCTCAGTGTGGCCGTAAGTATTCAAACTTTTGATATGTGTCTTATTTAACAAAAATTTCTGCATAGATTTGTAATGAATCTGAAACACGACAGTCGGCTGTACTGAACCAGAACAACTCATATTTGTATATTGCTAAGGCAGTGTTGCCAGTAACTGGGTTAATAAAATCCTATCCAAATATAATCTAAATCCCCTTTTGTACTAAAGTTATAACAGAAATCCCGCGCTGTATATATCTATTATACATAAAATTCTTTCTGATGAAAAACACATTGGAGTGGTCCAAAAATGCGTGTGAAAAAGTAAAGTCGGAAATTTAATTAATTAATTAATTTGAAATAAAAAAATATTTAGTGGTCGCTCAAAGCCCTCAAAGTTTTCTCTATATATTTTATATGGGGAAAAAACACTTTTTGTAGAAATAGTATAGAATTCTTTAAAATCAATATTTTCTCTTCAGGAGACTCCCAATAATAATACCCAATTGTTTATTTAGCCATTTGTTCATAGTAACTATATTTTACATGTCCGTCAAAACCCCCAGAAAATGCGATGATTGTTTGTTAATTAAATTAGGTAGAATTCGCTTATTCTGATTATCTTTTTCGTTTTGATCTCAGTAAGCATTTAAAAAAATCGTTGGCAGTTAGCATTAAAATTATGGAAATATAATACAAAACTATATCTTCCATAAAATTTAGATGCAGGAAATCTCCACTGCCCTTTTGTTAACGACTACCTCCCAAACGTTTATACATCGCTAATTTTACTTTCTTCGATAACAAAAACACTCAAAATACTTTTCCATTCATTGTTTAAATCAAACTGGTTCATATCTGTATACCGCTATGCTCTCTAAAGACTTGGTGTTAATTATTTTACATAAATTTAAAACAACTTCAGAATCTAGAAACTCAAGACATTTGAATAGAATTATTGATTAGAAATTTTTTTT